GACACCAAATGTACCGTGGATGGCCGAGTATCAAACTCTTTCTTCTGCTTCCAACTTTTATTCCACTCGGTATAACTTTAACTACGGAACAGGAATAAACGAACTTCTAAATTAACGTCAACTTCACAAACAATAACAATAACAAACGGAAAACTTTAACCTCTTCTAAACTCTGTCACTTCACTTCCCGCTTGTCAGTGTCATATTTGAATACTATTTTCATGAGTGACAACTTAAAAGGAAGTGCAAATGTTTGTTACAAAACACGCTGATTTCGTTCTAATTTCAGGTGCAGATCCGAGTGCGAAACCCCCAACCCCCAATGAAGAGGACATCGTCTCCAAAAGTTCCTCTTCAAGTTCCAATACGAATGAAAAGCATTGGGACGACATTCTGAACGACAGAAATCACGTCAACACGCTCATTGATGAAATGTTTGCTTCCGTTTTAGAGGTGAATTTGGGATCTTCGATCAGTCCGACCTCGTCCAACGAGAGCATCGCAACTGAAGATGGCAATAAAATCACCATCTCCAACAAAATGCCTCCATTGGCAGCGACGAGACCAACCAGTACTTCCGATGACGAGAACTTGACAGTGATTGTGATCAATGACGATACGAAGGAGAGCGCCAGGGCTACACCGGAACGGAAAGTTACATTCAATGATCGAGAGAATCATGAATTTTTGATCGAGGAGCTGCAAAGCATGCAGCACCACCAAGGCAAAGTGCCCAAACGGCAGTTCTTGGGGTCACTGGAAAGTGTGAACGGAGACGAAAAGATCCACATGAGCGACTGGTATGGAGTGAACGATGGAAAAAAGGTGCGCCTCTCTAGTTGCCATATAACAATTGAAGATCCATGCGAAGAAGATGGAGACCCGATCAGCAGACGGAAACAAAAGTGAGTACAAACTGGCTGAAGACATGGACGGCTAATGCGCAAAGCAACTATTTTTTTTTAGAATAAATAATATAGCTCAAGCTTATCGCTTGCCCCCATTGCCCAAGTCGCTTTCCGCTTTCAAATTGATGGCGAACGGCGAAGTTGAAACGGAAACGAGCGATTCCATGCAAAGTAAAAAAAAATTGCAACTTACTTGCTCCGACTCAAACGTTGAGATATTTGGAAGAGAACAGACCAACCTGGACAGGCAATTAGCTTTATTGAGACGGGAAATGGTGAGTCTGGGTTTTTATGCAATCGATGCAAATTCTAACTTAAATTTCCAGGTGAGTTTACGTGAACAAGATCTCTCGTTGCTCGCGAAATTGTGGTTCCTAAGCGAGTCCATTCATGACTTCCGGCAGATGATGCAAGAGCAGGATGACGACAAGCTAAATGCCAGGTTTTCACCTTCTCCAGCACCATCCAGCCTCGATGATGAAGACTACTACGTGATATCAACGTCAACATGTTAAGTGGCTTCACTATATGCTTAGCAAGCACAACTATTTGCGCGTTCACTTTTCTATTGTAAATTTTGTACTTTTAATTTTATGTGATAGAATTACGAGATTCCTTAATAAATTCCTATGTGAGTTATGTGATTTGAATCTGATGAAAACGCGAAACATTCAATAATTGAATGGACAAAGCAATCACAAACTACTCTGTCGATTTTCCAGAAAAAAAACAATCACC